GGTCGACCGTAGCGACATGTACGGTCGACCGGCCAAACCCTATAATATGTTTTGGTTTCTGTCGTTGGATCCAGCCGACCGCGATGGTCTCTGTGGTTGACTGCGACGGTTTCCTAAACCTTCCTGGTTCGTTTGGAACTCTGTTTTCCTGTTTGATTTTGGTTTATTTAATTACAAGTTTGTTATCCACATTATAAACTCTATAAAAATGATTGTTTTAGGGTAAACAATCAGAGAAATCAGAGAGGTGAGATCCTAACCAAGAGATTAGGGTTTAGAAAGAATTGGGAGATTGTTCTTGATTCTAGAGAGATTGTGAGAGAGGGATTTGTAATCTATTATTCTCATAATCTAAAGAATGTATTTTCCTTCGTGAAAACTGAATTGTTCTTGTATTTTCTATCATCTTCTTCTCAACCCACTCTTGATAATTCCACGATCAATGGTGCTCGTCCGGCAACTCGTATCAGCCTGTGCATGTATGAGCGTGTATGTGTTATATGGCAAAGTATCACATAATGACCTATTATGTAACTTAACCAAAAGGGTAGCCTAAAATATATTGATGGGTGATTTAGCTCACAATACGTGCTTCCCATCATGATCCTGATGTCCTATAATGCAAAAGATGAAACTATAGAGGTTGAAGATCCATCTTGAATCACGTCGTCTTCAATGCTCTTGTTTTCGGACTTTCTGTACTAGACAAATACGTGCACTTGCCAGCATGTACATACAAATAGATGTTTCAGTAGTAGAAAAATAAGATCACTTGCTAGTGTTTACATATAAATAAATGTATATATACAGGAAATTTTGGGCATAAGTTTGCAATCATTTTGATAAACGAACTACCACAAATCAGATGTGACGGACGGGCATCACACCTCCTCGTGTATTGATAACTTATTTAGCAAAATGAACTATCAATTCACACCAGCAAACCTATAGATAGATACGCACATAACACTTGTAAACTTGTATATATGCATACATGCGTATGGGTGCAAGTATATAGTAAGATAGGGAATCAACCCTTCCAATTTGTCGGTGATAGGTGTCCACATATAAAGATAATACTCTATTGAAGATGATCTATATAATTTGGAGACACTCTCTTCCAATTTGTCAATGATAGATATCATCTACTCTATTGAAGATGATCTATATAATTGGAAAGACCAAAAATCAAATGCAAGTTCTAATTTTTTTTGTTCATGCATCAAGTACAGATGCATAACGTTGTTAACTTTCGCATTCCATTTGTACAAAATATATATTTATACATCTACCCACCTAATACAAGATCACAAGTATATGAATATTTATACATCTATCCACCTAATACAAGATCACAAGTACATGTGTGCACGCATGCGCACAAACAACCACGCCTGTCACACATGCACAATCAGATACAAGCAAACGCCCATGCGTCTGTATACACACACATGCATGTGACAATTATGTGTGAAGATATGTATCTTTTGTTAAACAAAGGAGTTAACTAGTAACCATATTATATAGTACATATTGAAAGACTCTACTCTGCTAACATAATTTGCAGGAGATTTACACAAAAACAATAATGAAATATTAACTCCATCCACACTTTTCTGGAAGTAAGATTTTCTGTGTAGACATTTTTTAAGAATATTAAAGCTCGTAGTGGGTTTCCTTCTAAGCATAGCAGACCGTAAATGTAACAGTTGTTATGTACTTGAAGATATGTCTGCATCAGAATGCAAATTCTTTTCTTCCAGACTTCTCAAACAACAAAACATATTGAACTTTAAACAACACGTGCATGAGATGGAACTATTATATTTGAATTTTAAATATTTTGTTTAGCTCGGATGCTCTATTGTCTGAATGCATAAAGCATCTTATTCAAATATGTTTTCGCAAGTAGTTCATTGGATAAAACGGAAACAGCAATATGACAAGCAAGGTTCACTAGGAAACTCTTCTAAAGTGTCTGGAAGAGTTCAAGATCCATCAAGTACCAAAATGATACTTCGAAGGAAAGTTTACCTCATATGGCCATCCATCAACAACAAAGACATCTAGTGAGTAACCATCATTTGTGGAAAATGCATGTGCTTCTTGGATATTAAGGCCAGCTTCAGCGAGTAAAGATGTCAGCTGGAAACATGGAAATGAACCTTGAACTAAGTATGTTTAGAGAAGATGAGCTCTAGAAAGAAAACGAAAACGAACAACCTTCTAACTGAGAAACAATAGGATTCTAGTTAATGAACTAATGAGGAGCAAACGTCAACTAAATAAATGGGGATGGAGGCAACTAAGAAGAATAAAATAGTGGTTAATTTAACAGAGGCTAAAATACCATATTGACCTAAAAAGTAACACCCCTTTACCACTTCAACATAAAAAGTGGTACTAGCAATACTTTGACCTCGAAAGTGACAAATTGGTGACACACAGGCCTTTCCGTATGCAATTTTTTAAGTGAAATATTAAGAGAATTTTTCATATATACCCCTTAAATCTCCCATATTTTTCGGATTTACCCCCCCCCCCAACTCAAGTTCTAAAATTTGTCATTTCCCCCCCCCCCCAACTCAAGTTCTAAAATTTGTAAAAAGACCCTCTCCCCCTCCCTTTCCTCCAGTTCCTCCCTCCTTCCGACATCTCCTCCCGATCCTCAACCTCCCCTCCTCTCTCCCACCCTCTCTCCCCCATTTCCCATATCCTCACTCTTACCTCCTCCTTCCCTCTTTCTCCAACCCCACCTCTCCTTTAACTTTTTGAACTTCTCTCTAACTTTTAATGATTGGAGGGTGAAGAGGGATTGTCGAAGCAAGGAGGAGAGGGAGTGGGAAAGAGGAAGAGGAGAAGAAGGCAGGGTTTTTAATAGAATGTTTGATGTTGAAGATTGGGAGTGGGCGGAGCGAGGGAGAGGAAGTGGGAGAAAGGAAGATAGGGATTGGGAGGGAGGAGATGGTAGTAAGGATCTTTTTTTTTTAACAAATTTCAGAATTCGGGGGTTTTCTCTGGTAGGGGGTGATCCGAACAATGTAGGAGTTTGAGGGGTCTATATTGTAAATTTTCTTAATATTCCTCTTAAAATTTGCCTCCGGCGATCAATAAGGTCTATGTGTCGAAAATTTGTCACTTTTTAGGTTAAAGTGTCACCGGTGTCAATTTTTAGCCCAAAGTGGTAAATGTGTGTCACTTTTTAGGTTAATATGGTATTTAGCCATTTACATAGGAGCTGACCGATACAAAATTGAGTGGAAAGCGAGATTGATGTAACTGACCAGAAACTTTGGGACAAAGGTTCTATTGCTTTTGTAACGCATACATTTTTCTCTCCAATTCTCTTTTTTAGAAGTGCTTCAGAAAGCACCTCAATTTTGTCCTTTAAGAAATCACGAGCATGATTTCTTATCTATTATTTTCAATTTCCTGTGGAATACTTCAAGTTGACATGTGGTCTGATATACTTAAAATAAGCATGTTTACCTGGCTAAGAAGCTTAGGCTTGTCATCAGTCGAAAAGGTGATTTCATGCATAGGTCTGCACACCAGTTGACACAAAAATTCAATATTTGCAGTAATGCACGAACACTCTCATGAAAGATGCAGAGACTTGAAGAGAAATCAATTTAAACCAATTCTTGCATAGAATAAGCAGGTGCTACAAGTCTCATAAAATAGAACAGTAATAAGTGGGAAAAAAGGAAATGCAGCCAATTTTAGAATAAATTTAGAATGTATTTTCCTACAATATTGCAACTGACTGAGAGTGTTTTCTTGCGTAGCAAAGAGAGTATTTTAAAAGAAAAGAAATTTAGGGAAAAGAAAGCAAAGGAAAAAGACAGGTAACTCAGACCTTAATACCAGCAATCCACTAACTGAATTTCTACCAACAAAATTCTTTTCATCAACAGTCTTGTTTTCTGGCCCTAAGGAACATTATTTACAGAGATTAAGCACAATGCCCTGATTCAATTCAAACCTTGTCTAGAGAGACTGATCAAGTAGTTCCTGATTTCACACATGGCTTCAAAAGAACCAAAGGAACTCAGGTTCTATTAGATGAGAAACATGAGAAGAAGTAAAATAGGAGCAGTATCTGTTGCATTCCAACTAAAAAAATATTTCTTTTAGGTCACTTCTCAAGGATGTCTGCATCTTCTAACCCCTTGTATGCAAAGATAATGGTGAAGTGATCTTATAGTGGGAATCATATAGAATCATTATCAGGCCATGAAGTACTTCAAGGGTACCTCAAACAAACACCAGAACACCTCCTAGTCCTAGCTTGTTACCATGGGCAGTTGGGCTCTTTTCAGATCATATACTTCAGGCTCTTTGCATATTATTTCAGCAGTAGAAAACATTAATTAACAAGATGGAAAATCACCATTTGATGAAGTGTAGACAAGCACACGTAAATGGTAAGGAGAGGAAAATGGACAGTATCATGAAATGACAGACTAGTCAAAAGGACAAAAGAGTACAGTGATAACTGCCAGTAAAAGGAAGTCAATTCAGATCACACAAGGAGAAGGAATGGTGAAGATAATAACTAGGTATTTCACAAAGATAAAAGCATGATAATCAAACAAATACTATATCCAAAGAAAGAGATGACAGGTAGAATAGGATGAGAGATACTACAAAATTATTCCAATATACAGGCCAATTCCAAGTAAAACTCAATCCTTACTCAACTGTTAATGCTAAGAGCAAAATCCCCAACATCAGCCAATAATCGCTTGAGTGGTTATATCTTATATCAAACAAAACCATCATGCTCCTTTCTTTAGAAACAGGTATAAGATCACATTTTAGTTGGGATCTAAAGCAGTAATAAAAATTTCTGCTATTGAGTATAATAAAACAACTCTGATATGCACAGCATGGCAGTTAGATCCAAGTGTAAATATCAGGTATATAATATGTATACCTGCCCTCTCTTTCAGTCAGATGCAAAGACCATAATTACCAACAGGTTTGCATCCTTAATCCTTCAACTCCTTTTATCTTTATTAAGGTCATCTCCTCTGTCAGATTAGAATACCGTCACCTTGAGATGGTCAGAAAAGATTAAAGATGTCACTATCTTCTTCCCTTCACTCGTGCGTTCAAAATCAGCCGCAATATCACTTTTGATATTGAATTTATAAGCTTCTTAATACTCACTTGTCAAAAGCAAGAGTTCAGATAAAGGGAGGATTATACTATGGTTCAAATATGACCTGTTTGTCATCTCAAAAGTTCTTCAAATAAATTACATTACAGGGTATTGGCATTTTCATACTTCAAGTATGTGCTTCGGCCTTATGCTTATTTACGTTTCTTGCCTGATAAATAAGGGTTTTTAGTTTAAACCCATTCTTTTGCATTGATTTATTTTTAAACCCAAACACTCCCAATCATTCATACGCCCAATCTAACTTATTTTTAAATCCCAAACTAAGTGTTAAATCCGTTATAGACTATGGTAAACTGCTATAGTTCAGTCTGATCTGCTATAATATTTGGCAAAATGCTACAATTTTAGTTAAAGAGCTATAATAAAGTGGTAAATCTTGGTTAAAAATACACAAGGATGGATGTTTGACTGTATGAATGATTTTGGAAGTGGGCGGACTCAGAAATGTCCCATGGTACAACTGTACAAGAATCAAGAATGGGTTAAAATTAAAAAACATTTATTAATGTTGTATCAATTTCAATCCGAGGACATATCACTCATTGAACACCTCTAAGCCTCCTACCTTTTTAAAGTTATTTTTGCATGTCGTGTTGCTCCTTAGTTCATCATGTGCCACATCTAGCAGGCTAGTGATGAGGTCAATGTTGTCTTGGACGAGGGTACATAGGATCTTTGGATGAAGAATCATAATGTTTCCTTGTTTGCTGGAGCACAACAAAACATGGAGGATACATGGATTGGGCAGGAAGGTTTTTGATGGCTACTTGCCTAGCCCTTGGAAAACTGGATTCTTAAAACATCATCACTTAGCGCTGTCTTCTTGTTCTTTGTAGTCAGGGCGCATTCTTAGGAATCCTTCGAATTTCATATTTAGCAATATGGGTCAAAGATATTGCTAGAAGCTTGTAGCATTGATCTTTTATATTGATATTTAACTTAGGTAGGACCCTTCTAATGTTTTGAAACTATTAACAAGTTGACTCAATCTTTTGTTGGAGTTATAACTTGGTTGGAACTCTATTTTTATTTGAGTTGTAGTATAATATTTTAGTTTTAACTACCTTTATATGTAGATACACATATATAACCATAATATATAAATGCAATTATGCATGTATGCATATATCTGTGTGAGTGTACACGTATATATACACCCCCACACAATAGCAGCTCTCGTGGTTTTCTCCTTTTTTGGCTATGACTGCAGTTGAACAGTCATTAGAGCTGTCCAAAAAGCCAGCGGCCTAGACCTATCCTAGAATCCAGCTCAGTTCAGGCCCGTCCAGTACCAGGCCCGGATCTGGGAAAAGCCCAGAAAAAGGGCCTGGTTGAGTTCCAAACCTAAGACTAGGTGCCTCCGCTGGAGCCCGATCAGGGACAATGTGTTTTTTGGGCAATTTAGCTAGTTAATTGTAGTTATTAACAATGTTTCAAAGAATGATTAATCCAACCTTAGCTTAGTTGGTTCAGTAGATTGTAGTTGGTCATAGGTAGTTCTTTAGGTCACTAGTTCAAATCTACCAGGTCAAAAAAAATTATTTTTAGTTATCCGTAAAAAACTTTTAATCAGAAATCATTGTAATTTCATGTTAAGGCTTTGACATATTGAGTATATTATTAAAAAAATTCTAAAAGCTTAGATCTTCGATGACATAATTGTTGTTCAATAGTATGATGAATGTTTTGCTTGAGATTATGTTGAAATCATGGAGGAGAATGCAAATTAGTGGGACATAATACTTTGATTAAATAGAAGTTATTTTGAAACTAAACTTTTGGATCTTATTAAATACATTCACCCAGCGCTTTATACTTTAAAAAATATGTCATTAAACCATTATTATTGAAATATCAAAAATTCTAAGTGATTTTTCTGATTTTTTTACAAAAAATTACATATTTTTGCAAAAAAAGAATAAAAAAAGTCAGGCCGGCCAATGCCCCACCCGCAATCACCCGGACACGGACCTGGCTTGATACATCCAGCGTGGATCCTGGCAGTAGGGCTGAGCATGCTTCGGTCTAAAGCGAAAAAACCGACCGAACCGACCCGAAATAAGCGGTTTTATGAGTAGGGTGGTTCGGGTCAGGTTGAAAACTTTTCAACCCGACCCGAACCGAACCAACCAAATATATACCGCAATTCTCAAAACCCTACCCATTTAGTCGTTAACCCGACCCGTCCCCAACCCCTAAGAGTCAAAACTCAACCCTAGGTCCCTAACCTCATTTCCTCTCTCGGTCCCAGCCGTGAGTCGTAGCCCGCCGCTCCTCATTTCCTCTCTCTCGCTCTAGTCTCTATCCGCCTCTCTCACCCTCTCTCACTCTCCTCAGCCGCCAGTGCTCTGCAGTCTTCATGGATCTATCTCCGGCTCTCAGGATCTATCTCTAGCACCCGCACCCACACCAGTCGTCGTTGTCGTCGCCGTCGCCGAGTTATAACATCTCAGTGATCTATTTTGCTCTTCTTCAAGCTTCCTTCTCATTCAATGTTGACATACTTTGATTTGATTATCTCATAGACGGATTTTTTTTCATGTGGATTTTATTCTTTTGCTCATGATCTATTATTCCGCAGTCTTCAAGCTTTTAGTTTTCTTGTCATGTGGATTTTTTTAAATTTTATTTTCATTTTTAGTTCAGGATCTAGTGTCGTGTCAGGGACCAAATTGTCAGGATTCAGGAACCAATGCTTTGTTAGTTCAATGTTAGTTCAATTGTCAGGATTCAGGAACCAAATGAGATTATTAAACTCTTCCATGCTTTGTTAGTTCAATTGATGTTAGTTCAATGTTAGTTCAATCCATGCTTTGTTAGTTCTGAACTCTTCCATGTTAGTTCTGATTCTTCTGAACTCTAACATGTTAGTTCTAAACTCTCCCACTGTCAATTGAGCCAAGGATTCGGAAATGAGCAATTAGATCAATCAAGTATCCAAGCTTCTGTTTATATCTAGATTTTCAAGTATTATAGCTTTGTTAATTTATCATGTATCTTTTTTTCATTGCTCTGGAGAAATCAAATTTATTTGCTTTTGAATAAGATCTGAAGAGGATCATGTTACTGATAATGCCTATAGTTTTGGTGTTTGCTTTCAGTGTTTGATATTGATCTGTGTTTTTGTTGTTGTGTCCATAACTCACTTTTGTTCTTCAATTTGAATGATTATAATGCTTACATACATGTTTACAATAGTTTGATTTATGCATATTAGTGTGCTAAAAAGTTGAAACCCCTAATTTAGTTGAATTATTAAAATAATCTACAAGCTTCTCAAAAGGAGAATCCTAATGTAAATATAAGCCAAGTTGATTCTAATCAATCTACACAAGTCTCTCAGACTTTGACTAAAAGGAAAGCAGTAAAAGGAAGATCGGAGGTATGGGATCATTTTACTAAGTTTAAAGACAAAAATGGTGACCCAAAAGAAAAATACAAGTATTGTGAAAAAATGTATTTTGCATATTGTAAAAAAAATGGTACTACAGCACTTCGCAATCACATGGAGTCTTGCAAAAAGCATCCACATAATGTCGACACTCGACAGAAGTAATTAAATTTACAGGCAAATCGTGATTCACAAAGTGAATCTAGTACGAAAATGAGAACCCTTGGTAGTTGGAGTTATGATGAAGGAGCCATAAGAAAAGTCCTCAGTTATTTTATCATTTTAGATGAGCTTCTATTCAAGTTAGTAGAGGGTTTAGGGTTTAAAAATTTCATGTCAACCGCTTGCCTTAGATTTCATATTCCTTCTCGTTGGACAATCCAAAGAGATTGCTATGAGATTTACCTTGAAGAAAAAAATGTTGGACAATCCAAAGAGATTGCTATGAGATTTACCTTGAAGAAAAAAATTTTGAAGAATTTATTGAAAGCTACATGTCAGAGGGTGTGTCTAACTGAGATTTACCTTGAAGAAAAAAATTTTGAAGAATTTATTGAAAGCTACATGTCAGAGGGTGTGTCTAATAACCGATACTTGGACTTTCATTCAAAATATTAATTATATGTGTTTAACGGCACACTGGATTGACAATGATTGGAAATTGAACAAAAGAATAATAAACGTTTGTCCTATTTCAAGTCATAAAGGAGATGATCTTGGGAAGGTGGTCGAGAAGTGTTTACTAGATTGGGAAATTGAGAATGTTTTCCCAATCACGGTTGATAATGCTAGTTCAAATGATACCATGATTACATACTTAAAAAAGAGGTTCAACAATTGGGGAGGCACAATGTTGGGTAGGAAATATCTTCATATGAGATGCATTGCTCATATTATTAATCTTATTGTTAGTGATAGACTCAAAGGTTTGGGGGATTCCGTTGCCCGTGTTTGTTCGGCGGTGAGATATGTGAGGCAATCTCCATATAGATTAGCTAACTTCAAAACTTGTATTGAACTAGAAAAAAATAAATTTGGTTCATCTTTATGTTTGGATGTATGCACTAGATGGAATTCCACTTTTTTGATGTCGAACATTGCTCAAAAATATGAAAAAGCTTTTGAAAGATATGGTGAGGAGGATCCCTTCTTTAGATTTAAACTAAGTAATGGAAATGGAGCTCATGGAATGCTATTGGAGGATGATTGGGTTAATGTGAGAATGTTATGTATTTTGCTTGAAAAATTTTACAAGCTAACAGTACTTGTTGCATGTTCCTCGTATGTGACAAGTAATTTTTTTCTTCAAGAAATTGGTAATGTTGCTTGTGACTTGCAAACATAGAGATTGTATGATGATGCATCATATGCTAGAATTGCTAATAGAATGACAGATAAATATGAGAAGTATTGGGGAAGTTGGGAGAAGACGAACATGTTGATTTATATTATGACGCTTCTAGATCCACGAAATAAAGAAGATTTTGTGATTTTTATTCTTGACCTTACAAACGATGAGAAAGAAAGTGTTGATAAGTTAAAATTCATCAAAGATGCCGCATTTGCATTATTCAATGACTACAAAATTAAATATGGAACTAAAATAAATGCAAGTGAGCAATCAATTGGTGCTTCATCTAATAATATTGACAGTGATGTTAATCAAATAACCGATGTAAGAAGTCAGTTCAAAAGGTTGAAAGTCGCAAAAGGAAGCATTGAAGCAAAAGCAGATTTGGAAAAATTTCTAAGCGAGGATGTTGAAGCCGATCAAAGTAACTTTGATATTTTAGCTTATTGGAAAGTTAATAGTGCAAGGTTCCCAATTCTCTCCCGGATGGTTCGTGATGTATTGGCTATTCTAATCTCTACAGTTGCTTCTGAGTCTGTATTTAGTACAGGTGGCTGAGTACTTGATCCATTTAGGAGCTCATTGACTCTGAGAATGGTACAAAGCCTAGTATGCACGTCCGATTGGCTTCGAAACTTGTTGGCTACGCCGGGTTCAAGCAAAATTTGTTTTGAAGATTTGGATACTCTTGAGAAGTTAGACATAGGTATTTACTATTTATGTTTTTGTATGTTAAATGATTTGATTTTTTATTAACTTTTTATTTGTTTATCTTTCAGATTTGGGCAAGCTTTCAATTGAACCGACAATCACGGATTTGTAACAGCTTTCATGGAAGAACACAGGTAATAATGGTTTCTATTTGGGTAAGCTAATGTTTTGTTTTTAGACTGGAAAGGATATGTTACCTTGAACAGCAACACAAGAACTCATTCATTTGCTTTTTTTGTATATTACAGGGCGACGATGAGGAATAGGATGGCAACTGGTTATTAATTCAATGAATGTCAAGTTATTCTGATGTTGTTTCTAGTAGTCCAGTAACATTTCATAAGAAAACGAATGCTTATTAATTCAATGAGACCTAGTAGGCTAGTACAGATGATGCTTTGTGTTAATTGAAACTTGATCTGTTTATTATCATCTAAAATGATTTAGTATGCGCTTAGACTTGTAAATTGTATCTAGCTTGTCCAAGTTGTGCCTCTGTGGTGTGAATTTATTCAAGCATTGGTTAAGTGACTTCAAAGTTCAATCCATGAGATCCCTCTGTTGTGCTCTGCATATGTTTGCACCTCTAAATTTATTTACCTTCCATGATCTTTTATAATGCTGAATTTGCACCTCTAAATTAATGAAGTTAGAACCGAACAAACCGAACCAAACCGAAACGCACCGAACCGACTTGCAACGATTCAGTTCGGTTTTGAACCTGGCTGCGCTAATAGTCATAAACAGCCTAGACACAAAAACTTACTTAAGGTCTCTAAATAGATAGTGTTTGATATCAACATTAGGCTAAAGCTTTAAGTTAGGACGAAACCGTCAAATAACATGGTAGGAGCCCCTCGATTCCAACTATAACTGGGTGCAAATTAAAAAGAAAAAGAAAAAGAGACTGGTCTATGAAGCATGCTAAAGGTGCTTCACTTGCTTCATAAGTATATCCCTCAACCTGCATTGAAAAGTTGGGAAGTGTTGGTGATGTCATAAGGATTTGATAAGATGGCTGAGCTACGAGCCATATCAAACCCGTGACTATAATACCCAGACTAGTGGAACAAAAAAGATGGATCATCGAAGATGTTGGCAATGCAGAGTATGCAGTCAAGAAATAATTGATGAGAAAGATGCTATCCAATAATTCATTGTGTAAGCGTCTTCACACATTTTAAATAGTAGTCGTGAGAATAGCAATAGCCAGTTTACAATTCATGTCAATGATAACCACATTAAAGTTGTTAAAAGGTCAAATAGATAATTAAAAAAAAGATATCACTATGTGTTGTTATGTAAAAGATAAAGTTTTAGTACAGTCTCTAGTTGATTCAATGGAAGAAAGAATCAAAAACATGTCATCAAAGTAATGGATGACATAGAAAATGTGACAAGTGTGTTTCTATATTATAGTCGTCCAATATATTAAATCAATTCCTTTCAGTCTTTAAGTAGAAAATTTTGCCCCTTCAGTAGCAGAAGAATATAAAGAAAAGGAAAAAAAGGAAACAGATAAACAAACTTAACAAGCGAAGATTCTTCTTCATAAGAGGAAATTTTCATTTTAACTAACACTCCCCCTCGAAGAGACAGAAGTATAGAAGAGATTGAAGAACTCGGGAAAAAAACCAGTTTTGAAGCATCGACTTCTGAAAACTTATTCTTCATTATGAAAGGTGGATTATTTTAAGATAGAATATTTTTTTTCTTACATGATAAAAATGAGAAAATCTAAATTAAATATATGGTACCTTACTTGTAATGTAAATGCATGCTTAGACACAAGTCGCACAATTTTTATCTATCACTTTTACCATCATCATTAAACATGCAGAACAAAACAGTAAGCCATTGTTCTAACACGAAAAAAAAAACAAAGAACTAAAACAACCTGCTGAAGTGTTGGAAGGCCTCCGCAGCACTGTTTCCATCTTGAACGTGTTGCTTGCTTGCTTCGAGGACAAAGGTCTCAAGATTTTGCGATGAACCAAAGGCAGGAGGGGGGTGAATGCTGACAAAAGTTCAAAAAAATAAATAAATAAATGTCTCAAGAAATTTAAGCTAATAAGTAATTATGAACAAAAGCAAACTGGAAAGCAAAATTGAAGAGAGAAATTCAGATATGTAAACAACAAACTCGAAAGAAAAGTAGTATCAAAACCTTTGTTTATTAAGGAAATAATTTGAAGAACAATGATCATCGCCATCACCATGTGTGCTGCCAAAAGAACCACCATGATTTCCATCATACAATGGGGGTACCTAGAAACAGCTCCACCATGAAATTAACTTAAGGGTTAGAAATATGCCATGCTTCTAGAAGTATGTGCAAGTATCATGGAAACAAATTTAGTTAGTCAAAAAAGGTCCAGCAGTGAAATTGATCAGTTTAAGAGATTGTTTGAAGGAAAGTGATAGGGTCAAGACATTTTAATAGTTTTTCCAAAAAATTAACCGACAGAAATTAAATGTCACATAAAGATTGTCAATACGATGTCTATAAAAATATAATAGCTATGACACTGCATACAGTAAAATAGACCTTTAAACAATAATATGTGCATAATTTAGAACAATGTCAAAATCAGGCTTTCGTAAATGTGGCTCGGGAGAAAAATGTAGCGCGTTGGCGTGGGGTCTCCCGTCTGTAGCATTCTTTAGAAGTCTCAATAAAATATTAAAAGAAGCACTTCAACTCATATCCACAAGACAACACGCAGCGCTCAACATATATATTTCTTTTGATTTCAAAACTAGTACCTTGTATAAGAGTGCGACAAGTCCTAAAACAGCAGTACCATAGAAAGAAAAGAGGTTTTCATTGTAGTATCATCTATAAACTTATTATAAATGGAACCATCATGGGCTTGTTTAGTACTTTGCCATTGTAATGATGCTGACTTCAGCATGGTACTTGAAATCAAACGTACACCAGAAAATAGTTGACCAATTTTTCAAAAAACTTTACCTCTATGAACAAAGTATCATGAAATACCATAAGCATAGTGTAACATCATGTTTTGAAGAAACTACTAGCTACTCTACACAGATCGAAAACCTTTCACATTATGTGCTACAACCAAGGTAAGGAGGAGAGAAAACTAAAATAAAAAAAGGTTGACACTATTAGGATTAAACGTATTTAAACCCTGAATAAGAATACAAAAACCAAAACGATATTATCCTTGAACCTACAATGAACATTAAGATGCCAAGTACAACAAGTCAACTATACCATAGCATAGGCACATAAAATAGAAACCAAAGAACTGAGTCTGCATTCCTAAATAGGAATATTCCTATAAATTTTAACTTGCAAACATGACTAGGGGGAACTAAAGAAACTCCGAGCCAGTTAAATGCCCAGATTAGTTTATCAATAAAAGCATAATACTTTTTCATCAGAGTAATAAGCTATTACGTTTTCAAGTGCAAGGAAAGCATCCCTCTCAATTGAATAAAAGAATATCATTCCACATACGCTAAAACTACTAAAGCGTACATGCAAAAAAAACCATCATAAATTCGTCTAAAAGTACAACAATAATGTATAACCACAATTCTCAGATCAATCTATTCTATCACTGTATACTAAACAGGTGTCACTGGTTGCAGGAGCAACAAGTGGTAATAGGTTGTCTTCATTGTTATCATTACTATCATTATTACTACTATTATTATTAATGTTATTATACTACTATTATTAGGGTTACTTGCATTTTAACACCCCAAAGTTTCACCCTTTTTAAAACTCAACACCATGAAGTTCTATTTTGACAATTTGATACCCCAAGGTGACGTTAATTTGACAATTTGACGCAAATCCCTAGCTTTGTTTCTCACTTTCCCCAAACAGAGAAAAACTCAAATTTTGTGATTAAAAAAATTGTATCTCATTCACTTTTCTATGCCGAGATTTCAATGTCAATATTTTTTCACACTTTAGGGTACCAAATTGTCAAAAATCGAACTTTCAGGTGTCAAAGTTAGAAAAGATTGAACTTTAGGGTATTAAAGTGCAATCAACCTTTACTAGTAGTTCGAAAACAGTATATGTTTTGTATACTATTAAAGCTATCATTAGAGTCTACCTCGATCAAAAAATTTATCAACTGCCTCGTTAATACAATTGTTCCATTAATATTTCACTTCACCTTCTCTCCCACCCAACCAAAGCCTCTTTCTCGAGTTCCACTGCACTGCCCGGCTAACAAACCAGCTAGATATCAAAGAAAATGCCTTTCTTTTCTCACCTGAACCAAGCGGACGGCAAAGGCAGGCCTATTTGCGGGATCACGCACCAGCTCCAGCAATCTCTTGTGCGTGAGCACGTCCTCCGCTCTCTCCACGTTCACATCCATCGCATATCTAAACAATCAAGAACAATCAACCAATGGAAAAAATCCTCGGAAAAACCTCGAGATCAAGAGGCCGGCACTAACCTCGCGGGAAGGCGATTGAAGTGTGCCCAGAGGTCGTCGTCGAATGACGGCTTGAAGTGGGCCCAAAGGTCGTCGTCATGACGACGGTTGTGCCTTTGGCAAGCCAGAGTCTGTGAGGCGGCGGAGGACCTCGTTGAAGACGTTGAGCTTGTGGCGGTGCTACTGCTGCTGATGGCTGACGTTGTTGTTCGAGAGGAGGGAGGAAGAGTCGACCGCTTTGCTGCTGCAACTGTCGGTGGAGTCCTCGATTGCCATTGACGACGGAAGATCTCGACCTTGATCTTTAGATTGAGAATGAAGGGGTTCTCTTTCTAGGGTTTTTATTTTAAGGGAAAGGGATTTCACGTGGGAGGGGATCAAATCGAATCGAAAAGAGGAAAGTGAGGGAAGCGGAGAAACAGAAGCGCATGGGGGAGGAAAGGAGGCGGAGGGGAGAGAATGCGTCGGAGCGAGAGGGGGGACTGTTCATATATTAATTTTATTCTCTGCGATGTTGATCCTCGTCATATCATATCATATAATCAAGGGCTTTTCCCATATTAATCCCCTACATTTTATATTTTGAAGTCGGTTCCCAAAATCTTTACGGGTTTTTCAGATTAGTCCCTCTGGCCAGCAGTGCACGTTCCATCTTCTCTAACATTTTTAAGGTGCGATATCAGTTCTATATTTATTCATCGAAACCTTTCTCGATCTGGGTATTGATTTTTAAAAAATGAACTCCCATTTTTCAAAGGTTGATTGAACTGGGAAATGAGAGAGGGGGGAGGAGAGAGAGGGAAATTAAATTGAAGTTGGTGAGAGGATTCGTTTCATAAAGATAACTTAGTAATTTCTCATCCCAGGTTAATCACTAATTAATTTATCATGGTTAGACAATTGGATGGTAAACATAATAGAGGAACTAATTTTAAAAATAATTAGTGCCCGTTTGGTATTGCTTTTCCTAGACTGTTTCTGATTTTCTTTAAGAAGCAGCTAATTATGGTGTTTGGCTAAAAAAAATTGCGTACTTAATAAAACTGCTTCTGCTTTCAAGGGGTTTGTTTCTTAAAATAATGTGAGAATACTTTTTAAAGTAGTTTTTTGCTTATTGTAGTTTTTATACTACAGACAACTTTTAGCTTTTGACAGTATTACCTTATGTGTTCTAAAATTATATGTATTGTGCTAGCTAAAATTATGTCAATTTTGGTCATTTTCACTAATAGTGATCTTTAAGAAAAGTTTACAAAGAGATCTGCTTTTGAAAGTAGCTTATAATATATTATTACCAGATAGCTATTTCAGCAGCTTATATAAGTTGTTCTCGTAAACTGCTTATAACAGCAACTTATCATAAACTCCACCAATACCATCTCTTAAATGTTTGGGACTGTTTCCAAAATATGAAAATTTTGATAACTAATTTTGAGAATCTGTAAAAATACTTCTCCAATTTTTTATTTTTAATTTGACTAAAATATTCCCAGAAGAGGGCAGAGTGGTGGCACCGATCATCGGAGAGACTGTGTCGATCATATCTCACAAAAGTTTGTATTATATTTTATGTGTTATATTTATTTTTTCCTATTTATATATATGCGCATTTTTACAATATATTTTATTAATAAATTTAAATTTATTTATTTTTCTTATGGTCACTTTCATATGGACTATACATCAATATTTATAAACAAAAAAGTTTGTGTTGTATTTTATGTGCGGATTTTGTAATTTGTGACATTAAATAATTATAAACATTTTTGAGCCATTTATGGTTAATACAAAAAAGCTTTAATATATTTTCAGTAGATTAGTTAAGAATTCGTTGAACTATGATTTTTTTTAATTCTAAATAATTAGTGCAAGGTATTCAAATCCTATAATGTGAGTAGTTTTTTAATCCTCTTCATCTTCCCTGGTGATATAATCTAGCAGTCCTAGATCGATGGAAGGTCGGTTTCTATAAGCTCGAAATTGGGAAAATAGAGTTCAAGGAGTTGATCAGATGAGAAGATAGCGAGGAGTTTATCAAGGATTAGATACTGGGAAGAGGAAGTTAAGATCTATTTCAAGAGGGCATTAGAAAATTTTTGAGGCATTCCCTTTTATGGTGTTTGTCGCTAGAAATTTGAAGCATAAAGAAAATTTTTAGTATCTTTTCAGATGGACATTGTGCATGTGAATTAGCATAAGATTGCTTAAACTTTGATCAACTTTTTGAATAAAAGTCTTATTAGAATTTAGCTCGCGTTGTATAAATGCAATTTTAAGACATATTTTGCACTTAAATTTTAGTGTTTGTTAAATTTTTAAAGAAAATTTGCACTTATACGTAACAACCCAGTTGTAACAAAGAAATGAACTAAAAAATAGCCAAGATATTTGATCACATGCGCAACACACGCGCATGTGTGTATTCGTACATGTAGATATACAAGCATATATACATACATCTGCACATAGATATATATATACATATATCTATACACGTGTATGTGTATATACACACGCGCGCGCGCGCGCGCGCGCGCGCACACACATATATATATATATATATATATATATATATATATATATATACGCAACACACGCGCATGTGTGTATTCGTACATGTAGATATACAAGCATATATACATACATCTGCACATAGATATATATATACATATATCTATACACGTGTATGTGTATATACACACGCGCGCGCGCGCGCGCGCGCGCGCACACACATATATATATATATATATATATATATATATATATATATATA